ACCAAACCTTGGATAAACTTTGGTCCAAAAAAGGTAACCCTTCCCTTCACAAAACCTATAACGATAGTTAGATATAAGGGGTAAAATCGGGCGTAGATTCCGATTTTGAGGTCTATTTTTGCGTATCTGCAACCATTGGTCTCCCAATCGGCCGTTAAAAAAAAGGCTCTATATCTTGCAGAATTGTTTGCAATTGTGGGCTTGTCACGTACTAACATGCATACATATTCATTGGCAGAGCCGGGATAACAGGTGGGGATTTTCAGAACCGGATGGATAAATTCCTAATATTACCGCAATTGGACGATTGTTAGAAAAATATAAACTTGCTAAAAAGAACCCGTCAAAAGAATATCTAGAGTGTAAAGAACATACAACGGGTCACCCGTTCATATTCCTAATCGGCTACAGCTTCACTTTGGACCGTCCATCTGTCATAATTAATTTGTCGACCACTGAAATGCTAAATATCAATAATAACTGAAATGATATGAAGTACAGCCTACCGAGGTGAAATTCTTGTCGTGGTGCTGCTCCCAGTGCGCCCATATAGCTAAAGTGGTGCCCGTAGCAAAGCCTAAACGCTCTTTGACATGATAACGAACTCATTCTTTCCATAGATGCGGTGCAGAGGCCTTCTTTTGGCGGAGGAACTCGTAGGTCTTCACAACCAAGTACTTCTCAGCAGCAGTCAATTTCTTACCGGCGACCATTTGAAAAGTAGTGAACATTATTAGATGCTGTGAAGTTCTTAAGAGAATAAATAGACACCAAGCTATCTATTAAGGGGGCACACAACGAAATCGGTTCTACGGGTGCGGAGTTACATTCCTCTAATTTAAGATAAAATATATTACCATTTTTGTCCAAGCCTTTTGGCCGGGATAATAGTAGACGCATAAAATCCAGAGATTTTTCGTGCGAAAGCGCGGCTTTGTTACAACTATACGTGTAATTTTCAAGATCAATAATCTAGAACTATCTCGCAGTTATTGATAGCGGATGCGTGTTTACTCTACAACAACGGTTTCGGGGATGTAGGTCGAATTACTTCTCTTCAAAACGTAATAAAACCTATTGGCACCTTGTGGGGGTTGACAGGTTATCCCATGAATTGAAAACTAAAACCGTTGAGTCAGCGCTGACCACGAAGACCGCGGACCGCAAAAGCGTATGGAGCTCATGGGAGCTTATATAAAACACGGGGTAGATAGCGCCCCAAAAGAAGCCCGCGCCGAGCGTAACAAAAAAAAACATGGGAAGCAACGTGCATGCGCCACCACCGCGAAGTAGTAGCGCTTGACTTGCGGGCGTGGGTACCATTTATACAATACTCTGCTTAATCTAATATTACTCACTGTTACATCAAAAAGCTGCTAAAGCTTTGCTGAAAATGCAACGAATTGGGGATCGTGTTAGCTTATTGTCCGACATATGTTTATAATGTGTGTCGGGGGTGGATTCTTCCCCAATTGGCCAGAATTTTTCGTAGGTGGTACCACAATCTGGAGACCGGCACCACGGCATTGCCATATCAGCACAGATCGGATATGTCTTAGTGCTCGCTATACGAAGCCTTCAAGAACCGCACAGGCAACACTTGCTACAAAGTGATCACGAGCTTCGCGACCTCCCCGAGGTGTCACAAGGATACCGCCTCCACCTAAGCAATTGAACAGTACTCAGACGGCTACTTGTGTCATTGGACGCCTAAGTGGGGATCGTGGTGCCAACAGCTAGGGCGTGGCGACTTCCAACCAGGGAGAAGCAAACGCCAAGAAAACCCAAGCAAGCCTCTCCCTGATGCAGCAGTTGACATTTCGAATATAGCCATCTTGTACAAGCTTCAGATTCCACCAAGCGGCCTGCTTGACAAAAGCGAGTGAAGCATGATGAAACAAACTCGGCTCTGTTTGCCAGACAGGCGAAGCTGAGTGCATGACTTGCAACGTGGAAATGCGAACATGGTATGCGGGGGGAAATTTATCTCAGCCTTTTTAGTATGAGGTCTGATGCAGAGGATGTTAAAGCTATCGAGTACGGGTCGCGGTAGTACGAATGGTCGAGATACTTTTTTTTCCGACAAGCTGAGCAGCCTCTGTAAACAGATAGTCATGACCAGTTAAATCATGGTCGCTGCATTCGTCCTCCAGAATCATGCTGTGGAGGATAACGCACGTAAGTGTGATTGTACCCATTGCTTCAGCGCATGAAGGGCTGTCCTAAATTTGAAATGATTTTGCAGAATCCCGAAAAACTTCTATCAACATCCGCTCGACAGGATTCTTGTAACCTAGTATCCAAGTTTTAGTTTTATCGTGCACACACTCCGGTAGTCTGACAAACACTGGCAATTTGGGGTAAATGCCATCATGTAGTAGTATGGCATACAGTGCTGGTGATCTATACCTTAAGGAAAGTGCGAATTGTTTTAGGTTAACAGGAGATTCAATTATAGCATTTATCATCAGTCACGACTTGCGGGGTTGTTCCTTCTAGCATATCATTCAAATGCGGAGATAGGTTCAATATCATTGAGTGAGTCTGGTGATCCAAAGTTGCAATCCCATTTACGGAAGTTATAGTATGCGACGACCCCGAGAACCAGCGTCGTTTTTATTGCTCTTATACTGCTCTGCATGATCGATAGGGCACAGACGCCACTCTGAATGCGTGCAGTCAGCAAAAACAACCATACCGACAAATCGCCGACCCCTGAAAGATTGCCTACGCTAGCGTAGCATACTCAATCGACGACAATTGGGAGATTTTGGACAACAGCCCGTATTTATTTAAAACGCTTTTGTATGGCAGTGATTTCTTGTTTAAAGTCTGAATAGCCGCGCCCTCCCAGCGAGAAAAAACTTTATGAGATGTAGCTGGGTATGCCTATCTTTCCAGTCGCATCTGGTCGCTGCTCAAAGCAGCTATCAGTAGCTACTACGCCCTAAAAAATCCTAAAAAATCTTTTTTGTCGCACCTCATATCGATTTCGAACATCATTCTCGTCGTAAATGGGATCAGGTGCAAAATACTGCTGCAAGAGCCTGATGTGGCAGCTCGAAGTGTCTCACTTCTCGCTAGGTGCATGTCTAGAGCGCGAGTCCCCTCTTAATGTCTGATATTCCAGTTTATTTGGATCCAGGTGCACGATGGACGCAAATACCGCTTTATCTTCACCGGTCTCGTCTAGCAGATCTTGCATCCATCCTTCGCTGTCTCTGCATCCATGTTGGAAGTGAAAACTGCGAGAGGTACAATTATAGCGCCAACCGCTGCAAACGTTGACTGTGTATGTTCACGGTGGATTTGGCCAGCTGATTTAGTTTAGTCACGAGTGGGATTGATCTCCCATTAAAGTGGGGTGAAAGTTGAAAGATGACATCATTTTAGGTGGTGCTTGCTTTTTTATCCACGGTATGCTGCTTTTGTAATGTGGCCCAACTCTCTACACCTTTGCCGCTTCAAAGTGACAGATTATTTTCAGAAAATATTTCTTAAAAAGTCGACTTTATTTCAAAGTGGTTGCAGTCCACTAAGAAATTATTGGCTGTGGTACACCAAAGCTTAGCATAAAGTGTTGGCTTTTAGAGTTTATTTCCTTTACAGCATGCCAAGCGAGCCGCAGCGCACACTGGCAGCGCACACCCGCGGACGCGCTCGACCACGATGAAGACTGGCTTCTCGAGGCTAACCACAACGATATCCCTGTCACCACCGCCCGATCCGCATCGTCAGCAGCGTACACCCTGGTGCAGCTGCAGCAAGCGATTGCGTTTGACTTTGGCGGCGTCAATCGTCGCTGATCAGCCAGAAGCAGTGCGGCAAGCTGTAAACTATGAGGCAAGTAAGCTTTTTTTATGTTGTTTTTCCCAGGGCTGCCGATTATGGCATTGTTAATTAATAAGAGCCCTCCTTAACCATAAATAATGGTATTGGGCAGCTAGTGCCATCACATACATTATGTCATGTACTGCGAACAAACAATAAATAAGAGCATAATGTAAAGCAAACTAACACCATGTTCATAATTAGCGAGTGGCCTCGTCGACAGTCTGAGCTGACCAATACTCACCATTTTGGCGTAAGAACAGCAACATTTCTAGTGTAATAGGCTGCAAGCTGTGGCGCTCTTGCCCGTACGTCGTCCTGGCGACGCTAAAGAACCTCTCAACAAGGTTTGAAGTAGGTGGAATGCAGCTAAGCAGGTCGTACCGCGGCTGAACTGCTGCTAATCGGCGACGTTTTTGTAGACTCGCCACGAATGAGCCTTCATCTCCACTGTCTTCCGCTTCTGCTGCAGTGCGTACCGGCTCTTCTTTTTCTTCGAGGCAGCGGAAGGGCTGCAGCACTGCCTTCTCGGCCCTCGTTAGTCTTTGGCTCCCTCCCACGACACGCACACACGCCGACTTGAAGTCTGGGCTGCGCACAATGTCCGCGCGTGGTCCTGTGTCACACAAATAAATTTGTTAATAAACCAGCGTGTTATTAGAAAAACAAACATAATAACGTACCAAGAAATCGTGCGTAATGAGGTTTTAGGGCTATTAAACCGTCGAACCACACACACACGTCCAGCAATGTTACACTTGTAGCTTGAAGTGCCTTTGACACGGACTCAACCTTTTTTTAGGTCTTTTAGCAGCAAAAGAAGACGCTTGTTACAGGATGGGGCGGGGGGGACGTCCACAATGTCGTCGTCCTGGGGTCGAGGTGCTCCAGAAGCTTGAAATACCGGTGAACCATGCTGAACGTGAGCTCCATCGTGTGTCCTGTCGAATTATAGGACGGAGGGAGGTTTTCGACCTGCAATATATATAGCCATACAGAATGAAACCTTTAAAGTTAAAATCTTAAAATGCTACTGTACCCACTTTTCAGAAGTACTACATGTACTTGTATACAAAGGGGGTACCTTTTATGTCTCGAGCTCTTCTAAAACATTGGGCTGTTTCTAAATCGACCGCAGCTTTTGTCCAGCCATTTCACATCGCACAGACATGGACCACGACAGCGGGTCGGAGCACGAGGACGTAGAGCGCGTAGTGCGTGAGGCACCCAAACGCCTTGGCGAGTCGAAGCCCAAGCCTAAGAAGGAGAAGGTCAAGCATGTAGGCAAATACACGCGTGGAGTTGGCGTTTCCATTCGCGGAATCCGCGACAAGAAGCTGAAAGGCTCCCTACAGCGCGCTCACGAGAAGCAAAAACTTGCGGCCGAGTCTGCTGCCAAATCTGAGATTCTGCTACCCGATCAGGCCGGTTTTCTTGAAGCTGAAGGTATTGAGAAGACGTACAAGTTCACGCAGCGGCAGCTTGCGGACAATGTGGACGTTAACACAGCGCGCAAGATATTTAGTCTGGACCTGCCTGACTACGGCTCCTACCGCGTCAAATACACGCGCAATGGTCGCAACTTGCTGCTCGGCAGTCAGAAAGGCCATTTGGCGCAAATGGACTCGCTGCGCATGAAGCTCACGTGCGAGTTCCAGGCCAACGACCTTGTGCGCGACATCAGCTTTTTGCATAACGACTCGCTCTTCGCCGCAGCGCAGAAGAAGAACGTGTACATTTACGACAACACTGGAGCCGAGGCGCATTGCATCCGCACCATCCCAGAGCCGCGCAAGATGGAGTTCCTACCGTACCACTTCCTGCTGTCGTGTGTGAGCGGCAATGGATTGTTGACTTACCACGACGTGACGGAAGGGAAGCAGGTGTCCACACACCGCACCAAGCAGGGACTGTGCGATACTATGGCTCTGAATCCCTGGAATGCCGTTGTGAACCTTGGCCACGCGAGCGGAATCGTGACTCTTTGGACGCCCAACATGTCAGATGCTGTCGTCAAGATGCAGTGCCATCAGGGGCCGAGTACGTTATCCTTCCTTGCTGCTGCTTTACGGCGATGTACACGTTACTTACAATTGGATTATGCTTTGGTCGTTGCTTTCTGCAGTTCGCTCCATGGGCATTGACAACAGTGGAAAGTATCTGGTTACCGCTGGCGCAGACAGGAAGGTGAAGGTGTTTGATCTGCGTAAGTACCAGGAGCTAAACAGCTATTACCTGAGTGCGGCAGCCAATACAATGAGTGTGAGTCAGCGTGGACTCGTGGCAGTGGGCTTCGGTCCCAACGTGCATGTGCTCAAGAGCACCTTCTCGTCGGGATCGCCTATCCGGCCATACATGACGTACCAGATTCCGGGCTCTATGATCAGCTCGCTGGCGTTCCGTCCTTTCGAAGATGTGCTGGGTGTTGGCCACGCCACGGGCTTCAACTCCATCGTGATTCCTGGCTCGGGAGAGCCCAACTTCGACACATACGAAGCCAACCCGTATGAGAACCACAAGCAACGTGATGAGTCGGAGGTGCGCTCGCTTCTGGAGAAGATTCGTCCGGAAATGATCACACTGGATCCGAACACTATCGGTCGTGTGGACATGGATCCGGCCGAGGAGCAGGAGAAGAAGATTTACCAAATGCAGCGAGCCAACGGAGACGCCACCGCCAAGAAGCCCAAGAAGAAAATGCGTGGTAAGAACCGTCCATCGAGGCGACTACGTAAGAAACAGCAGAACGTCGTCGACGCCCAGAAGCAGCAATTCCGTGAGCAACTAGCCAACAAGCAGAAACGCCAAGAGCGACAGGAACAACAGCGCGAGTGGAATGAAAAGGCTGAGAGTGCACCCACGGCACTCAACCGGTTCTTCAAAAAGTAGATGCATAGACACACTGTAATACACACGCAGACGCATTAGACGCCCCAATCTTGTGCGATCAAGACCAAAGACACTTTATTTTGCGCCATAAAATCGAACCAAATGCGTCCAGCCATACGGAACCCCTGTAATTTGGCTATCCTAGTAGCTTATGCGAGGTAGCGGTACGTGTTGGCTTGATCAGGGTCGCGCTCGAGGTATTCGCGGTCGATAAGAGCCTCGATACGACGCTTAATCACCTTGAGATTCGGCTTGAAGAACGCCAGCTGACTCAGCACCTCCGAGATAAGCTGCTGGTGCTGAAGCGTCTTGCGTGCCTTCATGATACGCACAATAGCAGCTTCTATGGCGATACTGCGGTCCTCCTCCACATTCTTCTGGCTGTGACTTTCCTCCAGAGAAGCCATCGGGATACGCAGCTTACGCATCGGAGAAGCAAACGTCTTGTTGACGGCAAACTGGTCGCTGGTCGAGATCGTCTTGCCCGCAGGAGTCTTGGCCAGCAGCTTGTACTTACCACACGACAGCGAGTGCATAATACGCTTCACTACATCCACTGTAACGTTCAACGACTCGTGCACGGCCTCGAACGACAGCGCTCCTTCGCCTTCATTGAACAAAAGCAGCGCTACTGCCTGCAACGTCGTCACCTGCAGATCATACCATTTCTTCTTGGGGAAGTTGGCTCGGATCGTCGCGTTACCCAGCGAGTGCACCCACTGCAACCGACGGTGGCTCGTTTTCGAGTCATAGTACACCTTGAAGAGGTTCATGCATCGGACCATAAGCGGCGGCATTGTGACCTCCAGAATACGGTACGACGGCCAATAGCCCGTCGTCAACACCTGCACGCTAAACTCGAGGTTCAGCGCGGCTTCATTCGAGTCGCTCTCCCGCTGTTTCTTCAAGAATCCCTCGAACTCTTGGTGGTGGTCACTGCCGATGGCCAGGTCGTTCATCATACCTTCCATCTTACCGGTAAACTGCGCACCACAGCGCAACTTAAGCTTGCCGATCATCAGAACCTCCGCGTCAGCAGAAGCAGAGCGTTGATTCAGTAGACGCTTCGCAAGCTGGTTACGGTAGATCTCGGCGAATAGATCCTTGTCTGTGAGGTACGAGAACACGAACACCACCTTCTCCAGATAGTCCTCCACTTGCTCATCACTGAGTTTCTCGCCTCCAGTCTTGAGGATTCGGTCGCAGAACGTACTCATCAGCTTTGCCGAGCTATCCGGACCCACATCTTTGTTCACGAACTCGACGAAAGCTTCCTTCAGCGCCTTCTGGAACAGAGAGTTACCGGCGAATTGCTCATTCACGATACTGCGGAACTTGTCGTGGATGGCCAGAATATCCTTGATGAACGTCGGGTCCGAGCTGGGGTCACGTACATTGCCCGAGGCTACAGCATTAGCGCGCTTAGCGACGATATCGTTACCCACAGCGGTGATATGCTGCTGCACGAGGTCGGCGATGGGCTCCAGTCCGTTCTTGAGACGAGCAAACAGTCGGTACATACGGGCCAGGTCCTCCAGCTTATCGTTCTTCAGTAGCGCAATGACACCAGAGTTCTCCCTCTCGATGAGCTCCTTCTGCGCTGCTTCAAGCAGCACGCTCTCCAGCTTCTTGACAAGTTTGGGCTCTGTGGACTTGTGCAAATACGTGTGCACACGACTGCGCTCGCTCTGTAGAGCATCCTCGACTTTCTGGAGGTACACAGGCGTCGAGTCTTCACTGAGCCAGCCCTTGGACTTACGCTCGTAGTATATAGCACTTGTGGACACCAGGTCCGCCTCCAAACAGCTCTGGTAGACGTCGAGAGACTTCATGCCCATGACCTCGAAGATCTCAACGCAGTTCTTCATCAACGTCGTGTCGATGATCTCTCCGTTGCGCTCCTTCTCAATGAGCTCGATCATGGCGTCTTTAACGCGCACTTTGACCTTCTGGAAGACCATACGATCAAAGCTCTGCAGACCAGCGTCGTCCAGGGTCGGCAGCGAGTGGTGCTTGACGTAGTAGCGATCCAAGTACATGAAGAAGCGCGTCATCCACTTCATCATGAGCTTGTGATTGGTCCAGCGCTTGACGAGTTCTTGTAAGAAGAACTCGTCGTGTGCCTGCTCTAGACTGGGCAGCACCTTTTGCTCCAGATACGTGTCGAAGGTCTGGCCGTGGCGGTCGTAGAGCTGCTCTGAGAAATTATACGGTGAGCGCTGCGTGCACATGTTGTAGCACGTCGTGTAGATAGGCATGAAGGCATTGGGCGGGAAGGGCGACACCTTCACCTGGTCGAAGCCCTTGTCCAAGATGTCCAGCAGCACGTCGATGGCTTTCGGCTTGATCTCCTGGTCCCAGCCTTCCTCGAGCGAGATCATGTTCTTCCCACTCATGGCGTCGAGATCTTTCGCTTTAGATACTGCAGGAAATTAAAGCGTGGTAGCGAAGAGGAGCTGGAGTAATAGAAGCCAAAAAGTGTTGCCGCGAACTGGCCGAGAAGCACTCTGAGCTATCTGGTGCAGATGAAAATGGCAAGTCACTTTGCCTCCCTTCTTTTTGATAAGATCACGGTGAGTCCTCTGAATAATTATATTTTTTGCTGTGTGTATTCTCTTTTTAGAATATTTAATGTTTGTGATATCCCAAGTGTTACAGTGTACAGTACACTCGGAGTGTATTTTAAACTAGCCGAGCGCCGCCGCTACGCGGCGGTAATTTAGGTTTTACTCTAGATTTTTGCCTTCCCGCCTTCGCTTCGCTTTGGCGGGATAATTAGTCCAAATCCTCTGAGTCCCCCATGTGCCTAAATCGACTTCTTTATTTTTATAAATCTGCGTTTCTTTTGCTACAAATTGCTGAGCTCCCAGAAAGCCGTGTAAATATTTCTACCGGTACAAAAGACTGAGACCCTAGCATCATACTTACCATGCTCATAAACGATTACGCTAATGATCTTGGCAAAGTCTCTTTGTTGTTGTTGGCGATCACTGTACCTTAATCTTCCACCCAGAAGCACCTGCACTTCAGTCTAAAAACGCTAAATAATATATTTAGTTTAGCGTCGTGACCGTTTCTGAAACCTAGATTGCAACAATGCAAAGAATATCTGTCCAGCTTGCATCAAATACCCGCTTGTACTGCCTGGTTAAGCTTGTAATAAACTGACTATTAACCACTTCGCATACCATCTCAAACTTTGAAAGAAAATTAAAAGTGTAACAGTTTGAATATTTAATAAAAATATTCAGGCTGTAGCATTTTCTTATGCATTGAAGTGTGTTCATTTTGTGCTGATTCAGAATCAGTCATTAGACACTCGAATCTGTGCCTGTTATGGATGAATATCATCAATTCTCCGACCCTACTTAATTTTGGTATTGGTATTAATCACCAATCATCCATTTTTATTTAGTAGATAGCCAATCGTACGGTCTTGACAAGATGATTTGGCCAATCCAAATGGTAAGGGTTAGGTTGAACCTCGTTGGAGTTGGCTCCGACATATCGGGTCGGAGGGGACTCAGGAAATATGGATATGCTCTTACAAATTTCAATATGTAGGCATATCATATGCATAAAGTCATTTCTCCGACTTCTCCGACCAGTGCAATCATTACCACACATTAGTTTTAAATCTTACTTATTATTAATATGCCATTATGTAGTAGTAAATTTTAGAAGAGGTGGGTAGCAACGCCACAGGGAGCTTGCTCGTCATTAGGAACAACACATGCAACATCCCTGCGTGGAGATCCATTATTTTTATATTGCGTAGAGCATTATGTAGCAAGCGTCAATTAAATGTACATGTATTGCCTTATTAATTCTTGAGCACATCGACTCGCTGCCCCCTGCCGCTCTGCCGCCGCCCTGCCACCACCCTGCCGTACTGCCACCGCCACGACACTGCCGCACTGCCACCGCCCTGCCGCTCTGCCGCCGCCCTGCCACCACCCTGCCGTACTGCCACCGCCACCGCCCTGCCGTACTGCCACCGCCACCGCCCTGCCACCGCTCTGCCGTACTGCCACCGCCACGACACTGCCGCACTGCCACCGCCCTGCCGCTCTGCCGCCGCCCTGCCACCACCCTGCCGTACTGCCACCGCCCTGCCACCACCCTGGGCTGCCGCACTGCCACCGCCCTGCCACCACCCTGCCGTACTGCCACCGCCACGACACTGCCGCACTGCCACCGCCCTGCCGCTCTGCCGCCGCCCTGCCACCACCCTGCCGTACTGCCACCGCCACCGCCCTGGGCTGCCGCACTGCCACCGCCCTGCCGCTCTGCCGCCGCCCTGCCACCACCCTGCATACATTTTCAATGTGGCCCACAGTTAAAAAAAAACTTAATATATTCGCTTTAAGAGTTACTGACTTAGATGTGCCGCCATTTATGTACAGGTCGGAGGTTGTCGGAGGTCGGAGATTTTATGGTATGGTTATACTGTAGCCTTTGGATATAACGATGCGTCGCACGACGCCTTTTGTTGACGGCGGTATTTTTATTTGATACTTAAACGATGATTCCAGGATGGTTAAACGTAGATTAGGCTCTAAGTTGATTAACGTTTCTTTACGGGCCTACTTATAATAACCATAATTTACACCTCTCATGTTGTGTTGTTATCTTACCGCTGCATGTAAAACCTTATTCTACGCCTTGTCGGCAACGCGTCTGCCTATTAAGAAGTATCAGAATCTTGCTGTCTAAATAAACGCTTAGGAAACAATACAGTAGTAATTGTCATCAGCACATATTACTTCTTTTCCACGTCAATCTAAACTATCTATCTTTGTGGATCTAGTGACAACGTTTATAAGCACAGCTTTGTTCTTACGGCAAGCCCACACGACCGGCTACTGCTGTACATGTAACATGTACGATTTAGCAATACCAGAAACCCACTCAGATAACTTATTATTAATAATGTTAATATCTTTACAATAAAAAAATTGAAATTATCATTTTAGTCAGTGTAACTCGCAGATCCTACTGAGTACAGAGTATTTAGTATACTTAAACCATGTCCTCGGAAACACGCATGCTTACGTGTACGCTAAGCACCCTGCCCTCCGTTTAGTACTCAAATATCAATGCATTATGAAAAAGTATAAAATATTAAAACGATGCCGCCTTCGGATAATGTATTAGCTTTGTGCAAATCCCCATATGTAAACTGGGAAACACATGCATTTATTGATGTCAACTACACATTCTAGTTTTAACCAATTAAAGGCCACCTTCGCTGCGCTCGGCAGCCAGTAGGAATATTTAAATTATTTTATCCAATGATTTGTCCGGAAAAGCGTGACAGGCACGACAATTTAGTGTGACGGACAGACAGGTTGCTGCAGTAGATGTTTAAGACTAGCGCTCTGGGCGCCCGCTCCGCGGACGCTAGGGCATAGTTGGTTGGTGTAGAGAGGGCCGACCACCTCCGCTGCGCTGCGGTGGGCTTAGAATTTCTACTCAAAGCGAAGCAACATATAGTACATGTATACTGTGATCTACGTATATTATGCTCCAAAACAGCACCGCACACAGTATCCTTAGTGCTCACGTGTTATTGTAGACATGACCAGGATTTAACGTGATCTGCAAGAAGAGAACCGTCTTACCCGGAAAGGTTTTGTCTATAATCTCATTTGAGCGCATAGCTCCCAAAATGTCACGAATCGGAGGCGCGCGTGGTTGCAACGCTAGTATATGCTGTACGGAAGACGGGTCAGTATCAATGATGCTACGAAACATGCGTAGATCGGTGAGGAATCCCAGTGTAGCTGGCGTAAAAACGCCTACTCAATCATATTTCCATCTGCACGTCATCGCCGTGAGGCAGTCGACATATATCATCGATTGCGACGGTCTAATAGAGCAATGTTAATCAGCTCCTCGCGCGAAGTATCTTTTAGGATAGGTAGTTTTTGCCGATGGTCGCCACAAACATCAATATTATGCTTTGAAATTATTCTGCTGAGCTGTTTGTGATGTTACTGAAGGGTATTTCCACTATCTTCCGCATGAATTTATCTTACTTGCATAGCTGACGTACTTTCTGACTTATTGGCATAGCTACTGACTGACAGAGTGGCGTAAATCCTTTCCGACTGACATTATACGGGGTCCGATATGTACGACAAAAGGCCTCGTCCACATCGGACGAAGAGGCACCACTGCGTGCACATTCTTTTGACCGGCTGCAACATACGAAGATATATGGCTGTAGGCAGAGTATCAGATCGTAGTGATGGTTAGACTTGAATTGAATAATAGTTAATGTACATTAGATGGAGTACTTTCGCTGCCTACTTATCAGCTCGGCGTGCTATTTGATGTGTCCGTGCATATCCCGCAATGCCGCCAATGGGTGTTGTCGTGATAGCCAACACCCATGCACTGGGTTACTGCTGCGATCTCGGTACTTTTGTATCGTCGTGCTAGCCTACTGTACCTACGATTATGATGTATCCTTCTATATGATCCAGCACGTCACTATTCGGGCACAGGTCATACCCGCGGTGATACAGGCAAGCTGATCAGGCGTCTGTTAGCAGTATTCAAAGCAATATATACGCGCGCGGCGGGTACACATTATAGCCATCCGTGACTCAACCGAGCTCTTATCTCGGCCATTATGGACAGGGCGCTAAAGTAAAGTCTGCGTACAGACACATCTCCTTGCGATGGGCCGCTTGTATGGTCATCACTACCGCATACGTGGCTGTGTCCATGTAGACAGCAGCTTATTCATCGCGCATAGTGCTCACTCAATACTGAAGCTTACATTCGTGAGCGCATATTAGTGAAATATAAACTGTGAGGGTTGGTGGTACAGATAGCATGGGTTTGCGTGTGCCAAGTGAGCAAGTGTATTTTTATCTACGGTAACGCGTATGCAGATAGGGATGGCCAGCTTGCAAGGGTACGCAGTAGATACCATGCGCTAATTATTACATGAAACGCGCTACGCTCTGTAGGTGCATCAACACAATTGGCAGCATCATAGACAGTTTTCCGTCTAATCGGCTCCAAGGCTCGCACTGTAGCCAATATACTAAATACAAAGATAGGTAGAAACATGGAGGCCATAAAGGGTATATTTACCAATTACTTGCTCTTCTGCTGCTTCTTTTGCTCGATGTACTTGGCGTTTCGGGCGGTCAGCTTGCGAGGGCGGCTGCGCCTCTTTTTCTTCTTGGGGTACCAGTCAGGACCCATCGCCTTCTTGACGTTTGACAGGCTTTCCTGGCGGCGCACTTCGGCCGAACCAGGTGGCTGAAGCTTTTCCTCCCAGAACTTAACCGCTTTTGGGCCGTTCTTGCAGGCAATACAGTGTCGCACGATGTCCCGCCCGCTGATTGTACGGAGCGCGTAACCGTACTGCAGCTTCCCGCAGCAGACGCAGCGCGCTCGGGGATCCGTCGTAGATCGCTGCGGGTTCAGCAGAAGCGGGTCAATCTTCGCCTCGCATTGCTTGCACG